ACCATTTATGCACTTCCTGTAAAAGGACCTCACCAAAGACATCCCAGATGGATTTTAGTATTTCATCAGTGCTCTCTTTCCCAGACACTTGGATAGGAGAGGACCAGCTCCTTTTAAGTGCACCAGCTGGGGAAGCCAGATAAAGTGATTCTTTGTAAATGCATTGTAATCTTTGCAAATCTCCAAAGATGGAGATAGCCTGTGATCTTCTAGCAGGAAAAAAAAAAAAAGAAAAAAAAGCTGTTGCCATGATCCCCACGCTGACAGACTCATAATCCAAAGCTGCATTTTAGCCACCTACACCTGACAGAACAGACTTGTTTTGCACCCTTCCTTACCACATGAAAATTGCCTAGAGAATGATGACCTTTAAGTCCACAATTTATCATGCTTTCTTCCTATAAAATAGTCTGATATTGTAGCAGTTCTGTGATTTCCAAATCAATAGGTTTTAACTGTCATTGCTGCCATCAGTTGTCCAGTTTCTCTGCCCATTCTTGGCAGAGCTGGATAAATGCAGCCTTTTTAAAATACTTAATGAATGACACTGAAAAAGTTATTTTCACCTTGACAGTTTGTCTCTGCACAGAGTCCAGACACAGCAAACTGAAGAGCCTTGGAAAAATTATATTAGGAATATGCTCAGAATGGCACCTAAGATGGCTCTTGAAAATTTTAATTTTTCCCTTTTGCACATTTAGTTTTCGCACAGAGGGGAAAAAATTGTGCACTTCTGGGAAAATCTGTGAGATTATGAAGTTTATATATATCGTTTCTGTCCACTTTTATATGAAGAGGGATTGTTTTTTTCTTTTTCCCTGTTTTGCCTCAAATTAAAATTACTTTTCCATAGTACAGAGATTATCTTGGACATAACCAAGAAAGAGAAAAAAACACTGCAAAACATCAGTGATTATTCCTTTTTTTTTTTTTTTTTATTGACTAGGCTCCTTACTATACAGTAGTTTAGGTTAAAAGCATCCATAAGGCCAAGAGACAGGCCATGAAAAATATTCTTAAGCAAAGGATACTGGCAGTTTTTAGCACCGCTTATGTTTAGCAATGCCTTGTGCATCTCAGAACCAGCTGTGCCAATGAAATATGCACATTACAAGGCAAAAAGAGTTCTGAGGTTACTCCCTAACTGCAGCACCTAACATTTGCAAGACAGTTTGTTGCTTTCTGTGGTATTCAAATGATGATCCCCTCAGCCATTTGTAAATCTTAACAGCAGTTCAGACATTTTTAATAATAATTTTGGAGTCTAAGAGGAAGCAAATAAAATTAATAACATACCTGGTCATCACAAGAGCACAAGCTCTCTTCTCAGTTCTGACAACATGTGGCTCTAAGAAGACAACTCCCAACTATTCTGCAGAAGCTGCCAAAGGAAAAAGCAAAAGCTTTTGTATAGAGATGAGTCAACCAATTTCCCCCTGAGTCCTTGTCACTTACTGCATGCACTTACTGCATAAAACCTGCATGTTCTATTCCTGAAAAGGTAAAGACCCAGCAGCTCAGAGTGTTAGAAATAAGTGACCATCTCCATTTGTTCACACAAGTGCACAAAGGTACTTTTGAAGCTCAGATGAGATACTGAAAAGAGATGTGAGTTATCATGGTACACCCAGGGCCTGGGCAACCCATCTCCTACTCAGCCCTGGTTTGTTTCCAGCAGAGTATTTCACTGGCCAAGAGCAAAATCTTGCCTTATGATCTCAACCAGCTTGTGGGAAAAATAAACATTCAGTAAGCACATGATTAAAGGCATTTTCCTGCCTTAGTTCTAGGTGTCAGTACATCATCATGCATCTCTCCTACATAGAATTGTTACAGGTTTAAATTCTTTTCACAGTTGCTGTGTCTTGAAAACTTAAAACTTACTCAAATTTATTTCCCCTTCAGATTTCAGACCAAGACCAAAGTTCAAAGAAAGTCATTTAACCAGAAAAGTAAAAGAAATCTCAAATGCAAGACTTGAAAGTCAGTTTATCTAAAGATTTCAAAGGCTCTGTTACTTTAATTAAACTCCAGGAAAATTAAAGGGAAATTAAAGGGAAATGAAACATAAGAATGAAATCAAAAGTTAGGAAAACAGTGAATTTCTCCCAGAGAAGACTGATTACCCTAATTTGGAGGATGGTGACTGTGTCTCCTCGCTTTAGGAGCAAGTTAGTCATCTGGTCCATGGCAGCTCATCTCCAGCCGTGTCTCTAAATCTTCACATCACCAGAGGGAACAAAGGAAGCTGCTGGCACACATTTCTCTTCCAGACACTGTGCTCTCCCCACACTGTCATCACACAGCCTTGAAGCACCCAACATGCACCACAGCATCTGCCTGCACCAGGCCAGATTTTGGGAGAAAGAGGCTGAGCAAGGAGAGTGAGTAATACAAAGAGGTGAATAGTGAAAAAACCACTCAGTAGCAAAAGCTAGCACTAGGCTTGTGAGACAAAAAACCAGATTCAGTAGAAAGTTTTATTAATAATTAAAATCCAACAAAAACTTTTTGGTTGATTTTCCTGATTCCAAAGGTTTAAATCTCAACAGCTCTGTCCTCCTTTCTCTCTTGGGACCACAGATGAATGTCTTTCACTGCCAACAAGTGGGATGGGAGATGAAGAATCCATATTTGGAAATTGCTCTGCAGCCCTCTGCTATGGCAAGATTCCCCAGGACCTGTAGGACACCATGAGCAGCCTGACTCCTGCAGAAATCTCAGCTCTGGCAACTTCAGTCCAAATTACTGGCTGCACAACAAAGTCCTCCATAGCACCCTCCCCTGCAGGGTTCCAGGCATCTTAAAGTACAATTGTTGGCAGGAACTCACTCAGATCCAAGCTTTGAGCCACCTGAATGTTACCATTGGCAGCTGGAAATCTCAGAGCTTGCAGGCTTTCAGGCTTCACAGGCACCAGGACATCAATAACATACAGGGATATAAGTGAAACTTCAGAACCATTGCTTTAATTAGAGAGCTGTTGGACACAAGGTGGTAACTAAATGTCAGAGAATGCCAGGTATCACACAGCTTATAAACACGCCACATGATGAAGAATTAAATTATGCACAGGATAATACTAGCAAAGCAGGAGAGGAGAATTTATTTGTATAATAGATGAAAATAATACTCAGATGTTTTAGGTCAACTCTTGTAAGCAATTTTGTTTCACATTATGAGTAACTTGGTTATTTCTAGCTCCTCCAGAATTGAAGAGGTTTCCAGTGGTAGTATTCATCATGTTTACTTCTACAATTCAATCCCAGATCTCCTTACCCAGCAGTGCTTTAGTGTTCCCTTTGGAAAAGGAAACACACTTGGTTTTGAAGGTGGGGAGACATTGCTTTCTCATTAATGCCATGTCACAGTTCTTGGGCCCAACATTACAGCTATATCCATAGAACCAATCTTTTAGAGCAGTCTTAGGCCCTGCTTTCATTGTCAAATGTGACATGAGAAGCTGATTGTAGAGCAAGACAGCTGGCGGTAATTCAGCATTCTGAATGCATTTCTAAAGGCCATACTTCAAACAAAATCTTACATGGTGCAGTAGACTGAACACTTACCACGTAGCCAAGACACACAGGATGTAGAGCATGACATACATCATGCAAGATGTGCATCCTGAGACAGCTTGATTGGAGAAGCCCTTTCATGGGCTGACACCACCACACAATGTAAATTGAAGTGTGAAATGCAGGGAGGACTCAGAGATTCATTCCAAGAGTGTTCAACTTACCCAAGGTAAGAATGGCAGTGTAGGTGCACCCCTGTTCTCCCAGCTGCTTCCCACACCACCGGTATCCCCCAGCACCGTGGGAATGTGCAGTGCTGAGTTAAGATCTACTCACATAAACTGACTTTAGTTGGAGTGAGGGTTAGTTCTTTCTACTCTTGTGATACTGACTACAATATCAAGGCCTTTGCCTTCTATATGCAAAAGTAAGCAACAGTCATTTAGCTACACAGTCCAATTTTAATTAAAGCAGACAAAGAAATCATCAACCTGTAGTCCTCTAACTCTCTTTTCTCTCCATTGCAACAGTGGTCAAATTTTAATTACATATGATGAAAATCCAGGCTGGATAAGGAAAAGTTTTCCCAATTAGTCTTTTCACTTGATGACAAAGTACTCTAAGCTTCCTCAGAGACTTGCACTTCAAATGACTACTGACAAGGTTAAGAATTATGTTCACCTTTTTTTTTTTTTTTAATTCTAATAATGAATCACAAGAATATTAACTGTTTGGTATTGCAAGTGCCTGGAGCCAGGCTTCTATCTATGCAACAAAACTGTTCTCATATGCCAAGCCAAGATCAGCTTAAATTTATTGATTACATATTTTATACTGAACACAGAAAATATTGATAGCCAAATTATCTGGCTTAATATAAAAGAAATACAATGGATTTTGGAATGAAACCAGAACCCTAACATTTACAAGTATTTTCAATAACCAAAAACTCCATGAAATTACAATTTCAGCAGCTAGTAGTGCACATTAAAAAAAAAAAAAAAAAAAAAAAAAAAAAAAAAAAAAAAAAAAAAAAAAAAAACCACACCCTCAACTTGATCTATGATCTACAGCCTTAACCACTAGTGTTATACAGCTGGACTAACAATCTTGAGGATGTGTTTTCACTGATGGAGGAGTGCTCATTTCTTTTCCTCTTCTCATTTCCAGATTTTTTAATGTAGTTTCTAACAAGAGAACTACGCCACCCCCCCAAAAAAGCCCCAGCATACCTTTGCTTTTATATACAATTTCAACACTATTTTGAGACTTGGAATATATTTTAGTATTCAATTCAATTCAAATAATCAATATTTCTTAGGCTATTGCACTTTCTATGAAACACTAAGTCAAAGCCTTACTAATTTGTCTGAGACATAAGGAGACAACTTACTTTTCTTGGAAAGTGACAACACTGATAAGCCACTAAAAGAAGAGAACAATTTTTCTAGGCTAATTATAATATCCATTATGGAACGGATATCCTTTAATAATAGTCTTTATTATGAGAATAAATACATAAAACAAATGCAATATATTAGCCACATTTCTTCATATACATTCAGAATAGAACAAGAAGCTAATAGGCATAATCAGCAGAACTAGTTGAACAAACAAATTTTTAGTAAGCCAACAACACTAGAGGAAAGTTGGAATGTTTATGCACCCGTAGCAGACAAAGAGCATGTGATTTCAGGATTTCCTTTGTATTCATTTAAAGAGAAACACACTGAAATTGTAAGCACAAACTGCATGAACTGATGGAAGTGTTTAGCTCCGTGCGGTGGCCGTCTGAGGTTGTTCTGACTGCAACTGCTTCCCAAGGTATTCCCTGAAATACAACAAAAAATTAGATTGAGAAATGTTCTGGACAGTGGGGAGTGCAACAGTCGTGGGAATTACTAAGTGTATAAAGAAGAAAGAGCTTTAATTTCAGAATTAATCCCTTAAATGATGTCAACTGGAGCAACAATGAGCACACCCAAGTATCCATCATCTGCCCTATGAAAATAAAGTACAAATCAAACATAACAAAGCTGTCTAGAAAAAGAAAGAGCCCAAAGGGAACATTTAGAAGCCCTGACAACTGACACAGAACACTCATGAAGCAGATAAATTCTGCTTGTTAAATACATATTTTAGAAGCTATAGGAAAACATTCAAAAGTATCCCTTTCCACAACCCAGCTGCAGGAGCACGTGTAACACAAAGGACATACTGGCAATACAACAGGCAAGCAAATAGACACTGACTCAATAACTACATATTCAAGTTGAGAAAAATAAAAGATAATCAATCCAGGCCCACTGTACAGCAACATCTTCTTTAAAGTGCTTTCCTCACTGGCACTTTGAAGTGCACTAAGCCACTTACTTTCTATCTCTCCTCTCAACACTGGAACATCTCTCAGATTACTGGCACTTGCCCTGAGCAACAGTGTCTAAATCCCATGGAAAAATACTGCACAGTTCTTCTGAATGTTACAGTCCTTCACTTTCTCTCTTGTGAAAGCAGATCAACACTTTGCAAAAAGAACCACAAAAAAGCTGTAAGCGGTCTTTAATAATAGTACCTGGGCTGCTGCTTGTCACAGAAAATACAATAATTGTACCACTGTATCAAGTGAAAGAGAGGCTTCAGGACTCATGAAATGTAGGCGTTCTTTTTCTACTGCTGATCATACACTTAGTGCTGTGCTTTCTCACTACACAGATATTTCAACCTACACAGGTTAAGCACTAGAAGCATCTCAGAAGGATGGTGTTCAGAAAGAAGTCTCAAAAAATTCCTACATAACTCAAGAGTATGTGCTTTTGCTTAATTAAAAAAATAAATTTCAAAGATCAGGTTTTTTCCACATTTCAAAAACTAGTTTTCAGCTTAGTGTCCTGTTGAACAGTTATCCCTTATGCATTGCAATTCCTATTGCACAATGAAGTTCAGCACTCCAACTGCACCACCCAACACCACTTTTCTCAGTTTTAACATTAAGCATCCAGAAAAGCAAAAGCTCCTATAAAACATTAACTTCAAACACCTCTAGCAAAGAAAATAACACATAATTTGTATGCTGAACCATATGTTAGGGTTTAGCGCCTTCATTTACAGCTCCATCAGGTGTTGCTGTAAAATCACAGTATTTTAATGCTTGGGCTCCACTTAATAGATACAACTCCTGCTCATAACAGGCAGGTTATCACCCTCAAAGTAGAGGCTCCTGCTGGCAAAGGAAATAAGCTGCTCTCTTGTGGTTTTGCAGGACTGTACCAGCAAAACAAAATTTGACAGTCATCCAAAAACACAGAGAGCAACTATGGAAGAGCTTCCACACTCACCATCCCTCTTTATGCTCCCTCTATGTTTCTGGTTGTCTTTTTTTTTTGTTTTGTTTTCATTTGTTTCATGCCTATATGCATGTACTGATTCTAGTACTTCTTCTCTGACATCCAGCCATGAAACCAACTGACACTTGTTGCATACATGGCTCTGCTCATCATATTACAAGCCCACAACATTATTTGTTCTTAAAGCACAGATGAACCATATTGAATGTGAAAATCCCACACTATTACTTCCAAGTAGGAAAATCAATCAAGCTAATAATCCATAACACTACAACTATTGCAAAGTTTACACTGCTTCAGATGCATGGCCAAGGCTTTCTAAAAACCCCACTAGAGTGCAGTGCAGTCAGCAAAAATCTCCAAGGCAGCAGAGCAGTAGCATATTTTGTAGGTACTTAGTGCCTTCACAGACATATTCAACTTCTCCAGTAAGTAGAACAGTATGTTCCCTACAAAACCTTTTGCAGGTCTAAGTTCTAAGTGCAGGGTCAAGGAAAATTGACCCATTTCCCCATACAGAATGAGTACCTGCAGTTACATCTCTACATTGTCATGCTGCATACCCAAGTGAAAATCCCATAGTGTTCCTACACCATCACCTCTTTAGCCACCACCAAGGGCCACTGAAATGCAAAAACCTTGCATTACAAGCTGTTAGAAGGATCACTTAACCAAACAGAAAATTATCACTCCCATTTGAGGGTCACTGGTTAACCCAGGACAAGCTATTGCATGGTCTAGATTAGATGAACATGGAATCATAGAATGGTTTGGATTGGAAAGGACCTTAAAGATCATCTGATTCCAAGCCCTCTGCCATGGGCAGGGACACCTTCCACTACACCAGGCTGCTGAAAGTCCCCTCCAACTGGCCTTGAATACTCCACAGGATAGGACATCCACAGATTCTCTGGGAAACATCTTCCAGTGTCTCACAGGAAATAATTCTGATATCTAATCTAACTCAGCCCTGTTTTATTTCACAGCTATCATCCCTTAGCCTTGTGGGAAGGCCCTCTCCAGCCTTCCTGTAGGCCTCCTTTAGGTACTGTACAGGTGCTCTAACATCTCCCAGAGATTCCTCTTGTCAGGCTTAACAACCCCAACTCAGATCTTCTGCTCACAGCACAGGTTTTCCATGCCTCTAAATCATCTTCATAGGTCTCCTCTGGACCTGCTCCAAAATTTTAAGCAGGACCCTGTTCTCCCTCTGGTAAAACACATATTAAAAGAATAAGAAGATTCAAATATATTTTATAAATACTGGTGTTTCATCCTGTTAGGAGGTTAAGAAGCACTGTAAGCTCCAAACTTCACTCATAAGTTGGACATAAATGTCCATCCCCATGCTATTACGAATTAAGGGTCTAAGACTTTATTCTGCACTGATGCTTAGTTAAACTTTATTTTAAAATCCCAGTTTTTCTCTTTACTATTTACCTCTCAAAATTAAAGTCACCTGTAAGAATGCAAGTATTCAACACATTGCACTATAAGAGCAGGTATGATGAAAGGGTGGATCTTGTCATAAGATAACAAATCAGTTAATAAAGTTATCAAAATAGCATGCTACAACAGAAAGTAATGAGGTAGGTATTAGACTTACTTTTTTTTTTTTTAATTGCAAGCTATAAGCCCAAGATTTGGACCATTACAAGATATTTTAAACCATTTTCCTCACAGAAAGGCCTTTATAAAAAGGTCAGGTTTAGCCATCTTCTTATTTCCTTCACCATAAAACCATCCTTATTAAAAGCAGATGAAGCTAATGCAAACAAGCTTCAAACATGCAACTGTAGTACTCAAGACTACAGTACACTTTTGAGACTAGCTATAAAATCTTCCATTTCTCAATTAAAGCTCAGACCAACAAGACTTGAAACACCACACACTTTCACTTCCCTGGTCATCCAAAAGTCTGACAGTGAAACATAAGTAATTTCCATTTGCAAATTAATCTTTTCATTCTTACTAGAACAACCAAGTGAGATTCCTTCCACAGTAGTAATTCCCCCTTTTTGAGGCCTCTTTTTAGACACACATTTTCTGCTGTTCCCAAAGTGCTTTTTCCATGAAGAAAAGGAAGCTTACAGGTGAATACAAGAATTCATTTTATCTCAAATTCTTATTCTAATTTGTTTCTTCCTTTAATTTAATCAGTTTTTGTTGCTCATGAGACACCTTGAAGCAGAGACATACTTAAATGTCATAATTGAAACAAACACTTCAAGTTTATTTAGGAAACGGCACACAGAACTGATCCAACATGTAAACTCAGTGAATATGGAATAAGGAGATTGCAAACTAGCACAAGACACCACCTACAAATTTTATACTAAATATACCATATACTAAAAGATCATTGTCAAACAACAAACAATCTGCGATAGAAGGGTACGATAAGACACACACAACAGATCCCTAGGAGCCATGTGTTAAAAGAAACAAGCCTTGAAGTTTAAGTAGTACTACTTTCAGTGTTATTCTCCAAATTCCAGTGCAGTCAGATTTACCTGTCCTTTAAAGGACACTGAAAATTAATGGGCAAAGGAAGAAAAGTGGATGAAGCACAGAGTAAAGGAAGGATTCAATTTTCATATTTTCTCTTGTCTTACATTTAACTCTTGCATCCTAATTATTAAAAATATTTGATAGTCTTGAATATCTGCAATCTCTAGCTTGGCATAGCAGACTGAGGTTCCCAAGAGACAGAATGCCTTTTTTTGACAAAAACCAAATTATAAAAATATTGATTTTATTTTTCTCTATCTAAACATAAACCTAGAGTCCTAATCTTTCGAAAATGAAATTGAAAAGCTAGTTCTAAAGAAATCCTTCAAAAAGTCTGCCACTTGACTCAATACACTCGAAAGACATTGCCAACATACACTGCTTACAGACAAATCATAAAAATATGACAAATAGTTAAACAAACAAGTTCACAGGACAGGTAGCAGATAGAATAGTTTGAACAAATTGATTAGTTTTGCCAGCCCTATGTTGCATTTCTGCTAGAGGTCTAGTAACCTGGAAAGAAGTTATTAGACTAGAAAGAGATGGACCGGTTTTACTAATTTATTGTGGCTTTACAAGTAGGTATTTGAATTACATAATTGATATATTCCCAATTCTAAGCAGGCTAAACTAACTCATGGAAATATTGTCTTGTTAGTGTTACACTCCACAGAGTAACCATCCCTGGAACCTCTGAGCAGTACACATGAAGTGGCAACACCACCACAAGGCTGCAACTGTCTAGTCTCCACCTAATCCAATGTGAGACAGAGCTGGAACACCAACCCTGTAACCCATTCCAGCTGTGTAGGCCTGTTTCTCACGAGGCACTCAGGGTATTCTGCTGAGACAGCACTTTTGTTAATTTAACTCCCAGGTGAATTGCAGTGAATTGCTTTCCACAAATAAGCTCCCTTGAACATGGTTACTGCAGTGTCACATTAACACTGGTGGTGGCTGGGAAAAAGGCAAG